AACAAATACGAGACCATCTCACCTCCGGGACTTATACAACCCCTTCCTATTCCTGAAAAGGTGTGGAATGACATAAGTATGGACTTTATCACTAGCCTACCCACTTGCAAAGGTAAATTAGTGATCATGGTTGTGGTTGATCGCCTATTCAAATATTCCCATTTCATTGCACTAGGGCACCCGTACACGGCTAGCATAGTGGCTCAAACATTTGTGAAAAATGTGTTTAAATTGCATGGCATGCCTACCACCATTGTCAACGACCGGGATATTATCTTTCTGAGTATGTTTTGGAAAGAGTTCTTCAAGCTACAAGGGTCTTGACTTTGCATGAGCTCCGAATATCATCCCCAGAGTGATGGGCAAAGTGAAGTGGTTAACCGTTGCCTGGAGACTTACTTAAGGTGCTTCACAAGCTGCTAGCCTAAAAAATGGCTCCAATGGCTCTCATGGGCTAAATGGAGCTATAACACCTCTTTTCACTCTTCTGCACAGTTCACTCATTTTGAGATAGTTTATGGATATCCTCCTCCCCACATTGCTGCATACGAAAGAGGTACTGCTAAACTTGAAACAGTTGAACAAGGATTGATAGCTCGAGATCAAATGATGTCCATGTTGAAAACAAATCTCTTGGTTGCACAGAATTGGATGAGGGTTCAAGCGAACAAACATAGGAGTGAAAGGGTATTTGAAGTTGGGGATTTCGTGTACTTGAAGTTAATTCCCTATCAGTTACAGTCCTTGGCTATGCATGCTTATCACAAACTACATCCCAAGTATTATGGACCCTTTGAAGTGTTGGAGAAAGTTGAGACCGTGGCTTACAAAATTAAACTTCCTCTTGAGTCCAAAATACATCCTGTATTCCATGTGAGCTGCTTAAAGAAACACTTGGGTGCAAGGGTCGAACCTATTCCCCTACTTCCCTTGGTGACAGATGATGGCCTACTCACTCAAGAACCAGAAGAAGTGCTCCAACGAAGAATGTACAAAAAGGGCAGTGCAGTTGGGGTTCAACTACTAATCAAATGGAAGTTCTGTTCAGCGGCAGAAGCCACATGGGAATACTATGACTCTTTCACTGCTCGATTCCCAGAGTTCAAGCTGTGAATTGTAACCTTGATGACAAGGTTGTTTTGGAAGGAGAGGGTAATGATAGGATTGTGATTAGCTTGATCACGATTAAGGGGAATTTAGTAATTCTAATATGTATGAGTTGTTTCTAGTTAGTTATTAGCTTTATGTGTAAAAGCCAGCTGGCTGTTAGTGTGGGAGAAAAGAATATAAAGGCCAATTGTGGCTTTAGGAAGGGTACGGTCATTTTATTGAAAAACAATATATACCAAAAACAGTTGCATCTCTATCTCTCTATCTCCCTCTTCCATACCCTGCTCTATTACTTGGCTACTTGCAGGTCTCAAGTGAAGGACCTGAGGAATTGATCTGATCAGTATTGCTCATCTGTGATTTCCGACGGGGCAGAGGAACACACAACAAATACCCATTCATGGTCACGAGCACCGCTGATCTGAGCTAAGCGTCCTAAGGGTTGACTGAAGTTGCGAGTTCGGCGGGGCGGTTTTGATTGGTGGGATGTTGAAGTTTTTGTTGGAGGATGGCAAAATTGTTGGATCTTGGTGATGGAGATGGTGGTGGTGGCTGTTGTGATGGGCAGCGACTGTGGGTTTGGGGGAGGACTGGTGAGTGACAGTTTCTGGGAGTTGAGACTTTCGGGGTTGTCGGGATTTGAGTCACTACTTAATGGTTAATTTAATAGCAAACTTAACGGATGCATGAAAATGTCTCAAAATTATGACTTTATGTACCACTCTGAGATGAAAAAAATTCATGTATTAAATGTTGAAAACCAAGAAACTTCAAGGTAGTAAACTGAGATTAACCCTTAATTCTATTATTGTTTATTTGATAAAGTTCTCGATTAAGAACAGCTACACTTACATTATTGTTCAGGACTAGCAACTGTAATAGTACAGTGTGGCAGATTCTCTTATTTACGTCTGAATTTGAACAATTTATTGTATCATATAGGAAAGATGAAAAGGGAATATGAGATGATATTGAAGAAAGCCTTGCAAAATGTCTGCCTGCTTAATTCAGATACCACAACTTCAGTTATTATTTAGGTGAGGTGTTCTGTTTGTATGAAAATCTTAAGTCTCAAATATTTTAAGCATTGTGGTCGACAACTTGAGATGGTTGTAAAGCAGTGCATGTAGCGTTAATGCCTTTTGCTTTACACGCGTATTTGTTTCGTTCGAACTAAACTTGCAGTGTACATATTTATGCTAAAGATAAGTCAAGACCTTTGGAGCCTGATATTCTTTGTTAGAATTTCTATTACAAAATTAGCGAGGGATCTTGTCCATTTATGCTTCTATTTAGTAAGATTAGGGTGGTAAAGATTTTTGTGGTGTTCTCTGGGTGTTGTTTTCAAACTGCATTCATTTCTTGCATGACCGCATTAAGAAGCATTTTTTTGGTCGCACATTATGGCAGCACTTCGTTTTGATTTGTAAACAAACTATATGCTTTATATTTGTCTTAGGTTACAGTATAACGTTTGGCAATTGAATTTGTAAGACATTTTAGCAATTTTTTCACAAGCTTCCTATTCCTGCCAGATGCTCAAGTATTGTGTCTTCTACTTTTCTGTGTTTTTCACGCATGGTTGATTACTCGAAACTATGAGTATAATATTGATGACACAATACGATATGCAAATGAATGTTTCTGATAGCATGCATATCCATGTATAGCAAGCAAAGTATCACTTCATTGGTTCTTAGGTATTGTACTATCATTTTAGTTACTTTGTGTAGAAACTATTCATGCATATTCTGACTAATACATTCAATCTCCGCAATGAAGCACGTGCACATTTTCTAGTTGTTTCTAAAATTATATTTGAATATCTTATGTGGTCATATTCAAATATGTTTTTATAATATTTTTATTTGGATTTTGAATATCCAAATAGGTTAAATGTATTAAATTTTATTTTTTTTTAATTTATAGGCATTCAATATTGGAGTTACGCAAAAAAAAGAAGTGAAAATAGCAATTTGGGGTGTCTAGAGTAATTTCCATGCTATGTTTGGTATGCGCAGGACGGAACGGGACGGTTGTTCCGTTTTGCGTTTGGTAAACGCGTGACGAATGGAACCAAAAAAAATTAAATGACTAACTTATCCCTGTTGCATTTGTTGTTTGGTGCAATGTTTATGTGATAGGACGGGACAAGACAATTTTTTAGTTGTTCATATTTGAACACATATATGCTTTATGTGATATGTTTTACATTAGTACTTACTGAATATCAATATTTTTTTGTCATTTTCTTAATTCATTTTATTAATAGTTTATTATTATTATACACACTTTTTTATTTGACTCTCTTGCTTGTCTCTCTACTTTCTCTTCTTCCATATGCTTCTTGTTCTTCGCATGCTCAGATTGCTCCTAGTAAAAATCAAACTTAGTAAATCAAGCCCATACTTTCTCTTCATTTCTTTTTCTTTCTCTTCAATTCAAACCCATATTTCTCTTCTTTTAATTTCTCTCTCTTCAAATCAAACACAAAAAAATCTCAAATTGTTTTTTTCAATTTACAGAGGCTTCGTCGGATCGTTGGATTTGCAAATTCATTTCAATGAATTTTTGCAGCATCGTCGTTGTCCTTCTCCCTAGGCTTATGGTGACAGCACCAGAGAAGAAGGTGGAGCGCGGAGGGACTGACCAAGCAACGGTGGAGGAGCTTCAACATCGTCAACAACGACCTTGGTCTCCTCTTCGTGTTTTTTGTTGTCGTGACGGTGACAGTGGTGGCGGTGCTTGTGGCGCTTGGATGACTTCTCAAAAGCCTTGTCATCGTCGGAAGAGGCCCGGCGGTGCTTGCTATGCGAGTCTTGGGTGTCGCTAGCAATGGTCTCGTTGTGGGACTAGCAAGGAGGAGGGAGGCGGCAAAAGGAAGGTGGGGTTGGGTTCGGATGGGTTTGATGAGATTGGGTTAGCCATGGTTAGGTTGTTAGGTTTGTGGTGGAGAAAGAGGAGGCTACAGGAAAGAGGGAGGGTAGAAGAGAGGGAGGCTATGGGAAAGAGAGAGGGTAGACAATGGAATTCATGAAACAGAGAAGGGTACTATTGTCCAAAAAAATTATAATTTTTTGTTCCATAAGCTGGAACAAGTCGTTCCAGAGGAAATGTGGAACGAAAAAATGACTAAAATTCGTTCTGCAGGACAGCGCATCCAGACAATTTGGCGCACCAAACGTGGAACGAGTGCGTTCTGTCTCACTGTGTTCTGTTCCATCTCACATGCTAAATGATACTTTAATTACTAGTCTATTCTAAAATTGAGAAGGAATTTGACTGTAGCTTAACTACAATATAAAGTTTGTTATTCGATTTTGCCATTACAACAAAGCCATCTAAATTAGGGCTGGGTTGGAGAGTAATTATTAAAAGATATGAGGGTAATTTTGTCCGTAGGTTTGGATGCCCTCATGTACACGTGTTGGGCTGACCATCAGATGGGTTGCAGATGGGGATCAACGACTGTGTGGTATTTGGTGAGGAACAATACTTGGCTACTCAAAGATGAGTATGAACTTCTACTCAAAATTCTTAGTATTTTAATCACAAAACTTTGTACTTATGATCAAAATCGTTCATATTATGAATCACATTATAAAGATCATCTCTGCAAAAAATAAATTAAAACTAAGGTCATTTTATCAATTTATTGTAATAAATACATAGACGGTTCGTAATGCTTTTACCATTACCGTTCATTTGTTTTTAAACAGTTTGATGACCAAATGACCTTAGTATTAATTGATTTTTTTCAGATGCGATCTTTATGGGTTGATTTATAATATAAATGGTACTGATTATAAACAAGAAATTCTATAAATTGATCACGAATAATTTTGAAAAATTTTGAGTAGGAGTTTTTATTTGAGTAGCCAAGTACTGTTTAGCCAAGTTTGATGACCTACTGTTCTTTGGCGAGGGGATGGGTTACCGAGAGAGAGCCTTCAGCTTGCAAAAGAGGGAGAGAGAGAAGAAGAGAGAGCCTGAAGAATTCCAACGCTTCTCCTGAACGAGGCTTAGCTGAGCAATTCCACTTCTCTCTCTCACAAATCTGCTTTCGTCGCTCTCGACTTCTGCTTCCATCTCACAGAGGGTAGAGTTGCTATTGGTCAGATGGAGGAATGGGTGTGAGATTCGGTGAGAGGAAGAAGAGGGAGGAGCAGGGAGATGGGCTCGAGTCCGCGAACGGCAGAAGAGATCTTCAGGGATTACAGTGCTCGGAGAACCGACGCCGTCCACGCTTTAACTAACAGTACTCCGATCTCTCTCTCCTCAGTTTCTCTCTCGTAATTTCCTTTTGGCTTTGGAAATCTCTGACCTTTTGGGTGATTTGTTTTCTCACTGATTAATTGACTGTTCTGCAAAGTAAATTTATTGATTTTTGGAGCGAAATTTAGCTCGAGTAACTGAAGAGATCAATTACAGCAGTTGGGAAACGTACAATGAGAATTTGAGTTCTGGGTTTTGGAAATTTTCTTTCTTTTTTGGGAGTTCTGGGTTTTTGGAAATTCAAATTCTTGCATTCGCAAATCCATGTAAAACCCTTCAATTTTGTTTTGTTTTAACTTTTGAGGTATGTTGGAAATAACTTTGGTAATCTTGATTTTGGTTTGGTTCAGCTAGGGTCTAGACGAGTCTACCTGCTATGGTGAAGATGGAAGATGCTAAGCCTGAAGTTTCAGCTTCCAACAATTCAAATTCCGAGAGCTGCGATTCTGGTCTTCTCCAAGATCGATTTACTTATTTGTGCAAGGTTGGCGCTTTTTGCCCCCTATCTATTGTCATCGAATTTATCTTTTTATTCTTTCTTATTGTAAATGTCATTTTGTTTGTAAAGTTTAGTTTATAAACTGTACTTCTATTTACTTTTTGAATTTCTTTTTTGTTTATGTTGTCGTTTCTTGATTTTAGTTTCTATGGATTTATATGGTTCTGATTACAGATGGTATTTGTCATTGGACGAGAACTCTTACAAGCAAGCTGCAAATATGTTCAAAGAAACCAAGATCTGTTAATATCAAATGCTTCAGCTATTGGCAATGGAACAGTATGTATTGTTATTTCTCCATTCTATAGTCATGTTAATAATGTTATGTTGAAATAAGGTCTGAGGTGATATCCTTTTTCTGGAATTTTCTCTGACAAGCGACAACCCCATTAGGCCCTTGAGATGGCAGGTGAGGTACTTTTACTTATCCAATGTTGTCCCTTCCACCTTATGTTGTTTATTGTGGCTTATACCATTTATTTATGGGTTATAACATGTATCTTCTCTTCTTTGCATGTGGCAGTCCTCAACTTGAGTTGTGTGACTCAAAAGATGGGGCAAGGTAACATTGTTATTTCTTTTCCTTATAAGTAATTTGGTTTCTATAGATACCAACATGTTAGCGAATCATAATATCATAACATCGAGTGCAAAACAATGACATCACCATGGCTGCAGTCATTCGGGAAAAAATAACATACATGGAACATTGTTTGTTCAACAGACATCTACACAATTTATTATATAAGAGAAAAGCAAAATGCTTAAGATCAAATAACTTGCAGCTGGAATGAGGTTGAGCAGAGCTGTTTAAGAGTAGAGAGCTATAATTGTACATATTTAACAATTATGTATCTTTGTTAGTAAAGGCTTTCGCCTTTTGGGTTCAGTTCTATCTTCTCTCGCCCCCTTATATGATTGATTCAATGGAAAGGGGTTTAGTGCTTAACGATAAAGATACAATTTTTAAACAATTCGTTTCCTTTTCTTTTTAATTTGGATCAAATTCACAATCTTATCGATTAATTTCAGAAGTTGGGAATAAATTTTGGAATGTGTTTGCATTTGTCCATGCCACGATAGTTTAAATGAGAAAACTAATGGACTGATTAATTTCAGTAATTTCATTAAACCCAGATTTTGGAAGTGTTGATGTTGCGGCTGTAGTGGAGGGGAATGAGAAAACTAAATTTTAGAGTTTTCTGCTCCTGTGTTATGTTCCCTAACCTTGGTTTTGTATTATCTTATTCAGGCAAATGAGAAAACTGAATCCATTGTGATTTGCGTTCTGACAGTGAAGATGTATTTCCATAATAATCTTTTCAAATAAATGTTACTTTTTGACTTGAGAACTGTAATTTACCTTTTTTATTTTATCTTTTCCTGTATATTTGATTCATAGGGCTCTTGTGTTGTGAATTGTGACTGAAAATTTGATCCTCATATGGATATAGGCAAAAACCACTATTTTTTCCTTATTACTTTTCTTTTAAATGTGTTCTGATTCTGAGATTGCCTCTTTATATAATGTACAATTTTTGTAGTTGCCTTCAATGCTATTGTCAATGGCTCGGGTGCTCAAAAGATCTGTACAATATGGTTTTGGCAATACTGTGGGTATTGGGGTGAATATCATAAAAGCAAACTTGTGTAACTATAGATCTGCAAATGTTTGGTAGATAGAGCAATTTGGGAATTTGTTCACCGAAACATCTACGGATATCATGTATATCATTTTGTTTTTTACGTGAATGTTGGTTGTTGAATGCCTTATCATTTTGGTTTTTAACTTGCCATTGTTTATCTATATCCAAAATGAGTCTGAATCTTTTCAAATAAATGTTACTTTCCGATTTGAGAATCTGTAATTCACTTTTTATTGGTCATTTCCTATATATTTGATTTATAGAGCTCCTGGGTTGTCAATTGTGACTACTCCTCACATGGATTATAGGTAAAACCACTATTTTCTTTTCTTATTACTTTTCCTTTAAATGTGTTTTATTCTGAGATTCTCTCTTTTTATATTGCAAATTTCCAACACTTATGCAAACTTCATAGCATAGAGGAAATCAATGTTTTCCATTTTGGGTACAAAGAACCAAATATGTTATCTATGTCTTTAATGAACTTATTACTTTTAATTGTTTAGTTTAACCGATGTTTGGATGCTTAAAAATATTCTTCGTTTTTAGTTCATTCTGCTCCTCAGTTTATCTTACGTCTTTGAACCAAATGCAAATACCAATCTTGCATTGTTAAGCCCCGAAATTAGAACAAAAAAGCTTGCATGAAATTTGATGTTCTCTCTGATTGAGAACTCATTTTAATTCTACTTGAATTTTTCTCTGATTGATTTCTGGGTTTATTAAATTGTGGGTTACTATTTCAAAACCCTCAGCAGAGCGTGGGCATTTTTTCTAATATGGTCCTTAAAATTCAGCTACATAAATATTTGACAGAGATTACTAGAATCACAATATCAATTATTATAATGAACGGCAAAATCGAACCAAATAATTAAGAAAGTATCTCGACAGAATACTTGTAACTGGTTATTTATGCAAGTACGAATTTCACGGAGCTAAACACCATATTTTTCAACCACACAATTTGCAACACTCTAGTAATTAGGGTGTGCAGATATCAAATACATGTTTATGAAGTTCATTGTAAACATTAAAAATAAAAATAATAAAATAAAATTCCACAACATCTCCTTATTTGATAGACTGCTCTAGCAAGAATTCTAATCTGAAGTTGGAGCTACATATTTCTCCTAGTTTTATAGGGCCGATAGCTTCTTGATGGTAAGCATACCAAATGGATCGGGAAGGCAAGGAAGACTATGAGCTGATAGTTTCTGTGACACAAAATGCATTGTCGGACGCAACCCAGGACGCGTCCGTATACAAGCCAATGCTATACTCATTACAAGCACCACTGCCTTTGCCAATTCATTGGCTGGAGGCTCTAGTCGTTGATCTAACACATCTTTCAGAAGCAACTCAGCATTTTCATTCGTTGACGTTGATGATGCTGATAGGTTGGACTCTAGCATATCCCTGGGGTGCCTTCCCATCATGACTTCTAGTGCCACCACTCCAAAGCTATAAACATCACACTTATCCGTCACCTGCATAATATATGCAAGCTCTGCGTATAAAGAGAAGAAAATTTGTCAACTCTACAAAAGATAGTACAAAATTGTGCAACATTAAAATTTTACATTACCTGGCGCCATGTATCCTAACGAACCAACAATGTTGGTCCAGTTGGATGAATCAATACTCAACGGTCTTGCTGTTCCAAAATCTGAGAGTCGGGGCTCGAAATCTTGCTCGAGCAATACATTATTGACAGTTACATCACGATGAACAATTGGTGGTGAGCAGTCATGGTGCAGGTAAGAAAGTGCATGAGCAAGTCCTTGCACAATTTTTACCCTTGTTGGCCACCCAAGTTCAGTAACCCCTTCTACCCCATACAATGCTTTTCCGAGGCTGCCTTTCTCTAAGTATTCGTAAAGCAAGAATATGCAACCCCTCCTTGAAGAGAAGCCGTATAGCCTTATGATGTTGCGATGCCGGATAGTTGTCAAAGTTTGGATTTCATTCTCAAAACTTTGGAGATTAATTGTTGGAATGTCATTAGAGTCATTCGTGTTAAGCCTCTTCACTGCAACAACTTGACCTGATTCGAGCTCTGCCTTGTATACTCTTCCAAATCCGCCTCTCCCAATGCAGTGTTTCTCATGAAAGTCGTCTATGGCCTTGACAACTTCCCGAAATGTGAATTTCACTTCCTCTTGCAATATCATTGCTTCAAAACTCTCGAAGTTTTGAGAAGTTTTGATTACCTGAGGCCGGATCGTGGACCTCTTGCGAAACATAAGAAAGAAAAAAATGGCAATTGCAACAGTTGCGAAACCGCAAAAGGAATAAAGGATAATGGATACTTTATTCTTGTTAGCCCTTTTGGAATGTGTACTGGAAGACTTACATTCAGTTTGTCCATCTGCATGACTCCACAAGCCATAGTTACCAACAAAAGCACTTGTTGGCGCCTTTTCGAAAATGCCACAGGTTGGTAATGGCCCTGTCAAGTTGTTATACGAAAAGTCGTAGCTACTTAGAGTTAACATGTCAGCTAATGCTGATGGGATTTCGCCTGAGAGATGATTGCGTGAGGCATTGAAAACCTCTAATGTTGTGAGCATGTGCAATTCTGATGGTATTGCACCTGATAGTGAATTGCTGCTGAGATCCAAGTAGACCAAACCTGTTAAGCCTGCGGCGAGAAACAGATGAATTGGCATTACCCCTATCAAATTGTTATTAGACAATGAAAGAAGCTTGAGGTCCAACATACCTGAAATCCTTGGGATCACTCCTGTGAAGTTGTTAGCAGACAAATCGAGTTCACAAAGGTGAGATAAATTGCCTAGACTCTGAGGAATCTCTCCTGTAAAGTGGTTATTGGACAAATGGAGTCGATAAAGCTGAGTTAATTTGTCTAGACTCTGAGGAATCTCTCCTGTCAATTGGTTATGGGACAAATAGAGTCGCTGAAGCTGAGTCAATTTGCCTGGACTCTGAGGAATCTCTCCAGTCAAGTGGTTATGGTCCAAAGAGAGTCGCAGAAGTTGAGTCAATTTGCCTAGACTCTGAGGAATCTCTCCTGTCAAGTGATTATGGTCCAAATAGAGTACTTGAAGCTGAGATAAATTGCCTAGACTATGAGGAATCTCACCTCTGAATTCGTTGGAATAAAGCCTTAGATACTGCAATTGTGTCAACAGCCCAATTTCTGCTGAAATGGTTCCGCTGAAGCTATTGTCTTGAAGGTACAAAGAGACCAATTCCGTCCAATTGGAGACCAGAGAAGGAATGATTTGACCAATAAATAGATTATTATCTAAACGCAATTCAACGAGGTTTTTCAGATTGGACAAGGACAGAGGCAGTTCCCCACTGAGTTTATTGGAAGACAGGGACAAGTGGGTGAGGTTTGTGCAAAGACCAAGCTCAGAAGGGATAGAAGAGTTTAAGGAGTTGTATGAAAGATCAAGGGACTGGAGCTCCTTGAGTTTGCCTATAGAGGGTGGAATTTTCCCTTCCAGAAAATTATGACTCAGGTCAATATATTGAAGACCAGAAATCAAACCTATACTGTCCGGAATTGGGCCAGAGAATCCGTTATAACTGTTGTACAAAGAGTTGTTGCTCAAGTCAAGTTGTGAGCCTGGAGAGATTTCCAATGGCATATGGTATAGGCCCTCGGAAATAGTTGCCACTCAGGTCGAAGTGGGTGAGACTCGGAAATAGGGAAAAGTCGAAAAGAGCCAGTGTTCCGTTAATTTCCATACCGGAGAGCTGTATTTCGGAGACTGTTCTGGTTTTGGTGCAGACAATGGCAGTCCAGTTGCAGAGGCTGTTGAGGTTGGTGAGGGACCATGAATTGAGTAGCGAAGGTGGCCATGATGATGAAGACAAGTCGTCCTTCCATTTGATGAGTGATTCTGCTTGTTTTCCTGGAGATGTTGACATCGTTTTGATCAATGGTAATGCGGACAGCAGCAGGAGCATATAATGAAATGTCATGGTTTTGAGTTGCATGATGATCTGTTATTTTTCCGTGGAGTTTTTCCCTTTGTCCAAGGCACAAATAAATCGGAGCTAATAACAACATTGGAGGTGCATGCAGACTTTACAATCCTTTCTTTACGCTTGGAATTTCGCACATGACCGTTAAGCTCAATGGATTGGTACCAGAAAGTACAAGTTTTTCTGAATTTCCTTTGTTTTTTTGGTCGCAAGGTTTTTCTGTTTTTCATGTACTTTTTATTATATGCGTATGTTCGTGGTTCCTGAATTTTGAATTTCCAAGGGCATTTGGCAAATTTGTCCATTTCGTTAGCCAATTGGCTAATTTTGTCGACTGAATGTTTACAAATTTTTCCATTTGAATTTCTAGTTAATTAATCTGATTAATTGTGACTTGATTTTGCTAGTGTTTTGGTAAAAGACATGATTAATTGTGACACATTTCCATGCCTTAACCCACACGCTGCTAGACTTAAACTCTGCTAAAATGACTCGATGTGACCAATCATTTTGAGTGCCATATCCTTTAGCTGTATTTTTTCAAAAATAAGACATCTTTGAACTTTGTCCAGTCTGCGCAAATAGACCGCGTCAATCAACATTAGCTTTAACACCACACATCTCTTGATTTTGAGTTGAAAAACCCTTTCCAAAATTCCAAGCGTAAAGAAAGGTTTAGGAACTCTACACCTCCGAAATTTAGTTTAGATTTAGTTACAGAACTAAAAGAATCTGTTAACTAGGTTAACTGAATATAACAAACCATGGGTTCTACATGAGAATTTCTTCAATATGAAACCTAAAACTAATATCCAAATTTGCACCCTCCGTTAGATTTGGTGTCAAAACATACTTTGAATTAAATATGTCGTACTCACATGTGTGCCACATCATCAAACTAACAATTTTTTTTAAAGAAATGCAACACTTACCATCTATTTGAAGGAAAAATTCCAACTACCATAGGTCAACTCAGGGAACTTCAGTCCCATGATCTTGGAATCAATTCCTTAAACTCTTCCATCCCTTCTGAGCTTGGCCATTGTACCGACCTCACGTACTCGTTCCTGGCTTCCAATTTTCTAAGTGGGGAGCTGCCACTGTCCTTGTCCAATCCGAGCAGCATTCTCCAGTTGGATTTCTCCGATAATGTATTTACGGGTCCAATCTTGCCTTCCGTGATCTCCAATTGGAGTCTACTTGCCAACTAGAAATTGATACCCCAAGCGTTGCTGCGGGATTAGAAATTGTAAGAAAAATTATGCCATAGACGATTAATATTATTCACATTAAAAATGTTAGAAGATTTTAACAAACAAAAGATTTAATCGATACAGTCCACGTACAAACAATCGTGAAACTTTTGTCTCTACATAAAAAAATTTAAAAAAAAATTCGAAAAAGCAACTTGGGCAAGGGAAAAATAAAAGTTCACTAAAGCACCTAAAGTTTCCGTCGAGTGCTCTTGATTGTCAAGAAAGCAACCTAGGCAATAAAAAAAAATGAAATATTAAAATGGCTTATTATATTAATACCCCACAAATTGTTGAATAAACCCCACATATTTAATACACACCACATTTACTTTTTCACTTAAAAATTATCTTAATACACCCCACATATTTTCCCATAATACCCCCACGCCCCACATTCTCAATATACACCTTATATTTTGTACATACACCACACATCTTTTATACACCCCACAGTTCTCAATATATACTCCATATATTTCGGGTAGTTTGATTAGCACAGAGCTCCGCAATGAAGCTGCTATAGTAAACCGCAATGATTCAATTTTTTTTTTTTCTTTGATTTGGTCTTAAAACAGAGCTCCGCAATGAAGCTGCTATAGTAAACCGCAATGATTCAATTTTTTTTCTTCTTTGATTTGGTATTAAAAACAAAAGAGCTCCACAATGAATTTGAATGTAATTTTTCTTACACAACCTCCATTAAAAAGTAAACCTTGTTTTTACAAATGTACTCTCGCCTTGCAATCAATATATTTCAATTCAGTTTGTAAAACATAAATCAGTCACAATCAAGACATATCGTTTCGGTGGTGGCTATACTATTTAGACCTGGTAATAGCTTAAATTGTTCCACACGATCTTGGTAGTTGGCGTAAAGGTGTCGAGCGTTATTTACTGCAAGAGTATGCCAATTTTGTGCAACCGGTGGCATGGGATGTCTTGGTGCCAAACGTAGCTGTACAAAATAAAAGGAGTCAATTAGCTTTCAAAAACAACGTTCAATGTTGCAAAAAAAGTAAGTCAACTTTTAGTACCTGTATAAAGTCATTGTCATTGACTAAACCAATTGCAATCTCAGGAAGATTAGTGGGCTCATCATCTCCTAATACATATAAAGGTAGGAATGTGAGGCATTGCAAACGAGATAAAAAAATCACTACTACACGATAACATGAAGCTATAAGATGGCCCATATCTGGCATGCTCATCCAATAGAGTTCCAGTGCATATGAATCTTCAAAATAGTCAAGTGCTTAGTCAATCTTAACACGCCTCTCTTTCCAACCAAAAGCTTGCTCATATAGGAATGGGCAACCATGTACTTCCGCCAATAGGTCCTTACGTACCCTTGGCCATGAATCTTGGCCAAATCTCATTGCCTCAGCTATGACTCTATATCCACAATTACCATCTCCAAGGACATCAATTGCAATAGTAATGTATTGTTTTATTACCTCAGGGAACTGTCCTATATATTGATGCGTAAGGGCGGCCGGATTGTGTAAAATTGAGCTATAAGTCTGTATAGTAATCAAGGGTTACTTAGTGAATTCACAATTAGTATATCAAACATCACAACTATAAAGATAAGTGTATACCTTCAATTTGCGTGGTCTTCCCCTTGGTTTCTTTTTAGAGGGTTGTGGCTGGCTATCATGGCCTGAAAGAGCTTCTGCAATCTCAAAGGCCGATGGCAAACGACGAGTAGAAGTGTCAACTTTACGTGGACGTCCTTTGGTTTTAATTTTTTTAATTGGTTCTGTAAGTGTCGTAGAACTTGGGTTCATCAACTCCTCTATTTTAATGCATAGTTGTCGTCTAGATTCATTAGTTTGACCCTCAAACCAATTGACAAACCATTCAATGAGTGCTCTTATTGGAAGAATTGGGGGACTAAAAGTCGAAGGTTCAATGATCATGTCCAACTTTCTCCAACGATGATGTATACAATCAATTGGAATTGGTTGACTACTACTCCTATACTTTGCAATTTCATGAGCACATGGGAGTTGGTGTGTACAACGAAGAGTACAACCACATGATACAACATCATCACCAACTGAGTCGATTCTATTAAAAAAAAAAATTATATGTGTAACTATACACCATAAAGAAACAACAAATCCTCAATTTACCTTTTTGCTTCACACACAATTATGTTTAATGCTTCAATGGATACAAAACCTCTTAACTCTCTCAACTCTTCATGCTTCAAACCATGGTAGACAAAACATCGACTCTGCTCAAATGAGGCATTTAGTTCAGTGTGTTGCAACTCTAATAACGCGTGAATATTATTCCACAATATATCAAAGCTAAGCTGGCTAGAGCTAATCATCTGTTTTAGCTTTGAATGTGCACTTTCCGCCCTGTTCATTAGTAAAAATTAGTAGACATAATAACAACATGGCTATATATTGAGTAAAACAAGAATAAAATTACATGTTACTTGTTTTGTACCAAAATGCATACAAGTGTCAGTCCATGCAGCCACAAACTTTTCCTTGTGCTCATTCAGCCATGTAGTTTTCAAGTAATCAATACCTTCATGAAATGAACTAAATTTGGATTCAAAGGCATGCCAATTATGTAAGTACTCCTCTTCTGTTGATGAACTTACCAAGGTTTGCCAATCATTAAAAAACATATTCCAAACCTCCTCTAATGTGAAGAGTTTCTTGCAATTGGTTGCAACTGCTTGATTTATATGCCATCTACACAATAAATGTCGAGTACTAGGAAAAACATTACGAATGGCATTCATCAGTGTTAAATCTCGATCAGTGACAATCACACCAAGAATACAATCATCATTCATTAGAGTTTTCAATCTTGTCAATGCCCATGTGTAATTGTCTTCCTTCTCATGGTCAATGAAAGCAAATGCAACCGAAAATGTAATATTAGTTGAAGTTACCCCTACAATCTCCAAGAGTGGAAAACGATGCCTATTAGTCTTGTACGTGCAATCCATGATAAGTACATGTGGGAAACAATGTAAGATATCGACATTAATTGGGTGAGTCCAAAACAAGTCACTAACAACATTATCAACACCAATACTTCGATGATGCTCAATATAGTTGTACTCAGCCAACTTACATAACAATTGTTGCATTTCTGATCTCCCTGCTTTTTCTTTTGTCCGATGATAGTGTCTTGCATTGTATATTGTCCTCATCGTTGTTACATTAAGTGGATCTTTTTTCCTTATGGTGTTCAAAATAACTTTGGGTCTCACTAAACTTGTAGACATGTCAACTAAAAGTTCATTTTGCTCTTTAGTTAATCGTCCAACAAAAGAATGCCCTTCAAGATATTGTGAATAAGTATGGTTATGCACCCCACACTCAACCTCCAATTTCCATTCATCTCATTCTCCAACGTTGACTCCTTTCAACATAAATGGACATCTGCATTTTTTAGTACTAGTATTCCTAGGTTCTATCTTCTTCTTATTATTTGCATCAGAATTTTGGTCATTAATATCAGACTTCCTCAATATGGATCGATACTCGCCATGTCTCTCACAAGCAAATGTTATTCGAGCTCTCTTCCTCCTTCGATCAACCCCTCCCGTGTCAGACCTCTTAATGACAATAACCATATTATTCTTTTTTCCTTGTGTGCGAGCCCAATCAAGCAAATCATTTTTACTTTTGAACACCTGTACATACAAGATCATTGCCATTTGCCACTAACAAAATGTTTGTAGACATGTTAAGATTCCAACCCATATGTTTTTCCCTATTATGAACCTAATGCACTATGCTGCATAAAAGAATACAAGAGT